GTTTTATAACTGAATTTCAAAATTTAGAAGTTTTCCGCTACACCACTTCCGGTTGCAGTCCGGAATACACTTTATTTTAGTTACGTTACAATTTATGTTGATGAGAAAATGCAACAACACTCTGTTTACTATTCTGTATTTGGAAGCTGATAGTGTGACTTATTAGCTTATAATCATACGTTTATAGAATTATACCCTACCTAAAATATATATTTTACTACTTCATTTACATTTCAGAATGTAAATATTATATTATTAACGACGCATATCTAGCATTTGATGATGATTTATATATGGACGAAGATGGCTCAACCCAAGCTCAATGTGATAAAGATTGTCAAGAAGATGCGAAATGTACAGTTGGCGTTCTAGAGGAAGATGTCTGTTATCTATTTAGAAAACCGGTCATTTTCTATTCTTATGATTTAGATTTTAACCAATGTATAGCGACATGTATTCAGATGGATGAATGTTTATTGTTGGATCACTTAGCTAGTGATATATGTTATATCTATAACGACACCCCGAAAAACGATCAGAGTGGTCTTGAAATTATAGATGAATCAAATGGAGATAAAATTGTAGAAAAAATCTGTTAATAATTAAAACACGTTTTTTATCATAAATATTGTATCACTACTGCAAATTTCAACAGAATCAAATAAGGGGGCTGAGATATACAGTACCTTACACGCGTAATTCTTAATCTGAAAGTCAGATCCCAGCCTAGATTGTCGGTGATGTTGGTTTTATGATGTACCAAGGAAAAGGCATGTAATCGTTCAGATACGACAATAAGTTCTGATAGCGCTCACCGTTTATAGTCATTTCTTAAAGGCCCGATTCCATGTACTGAAATCCAGACTCAGACTCGAAATCAAGCACAAATTTAATGAAAAAAACACACGGACTTAGCCAATCCAAATCCAAATTCTTAGCAAATTCTATGTTATGCTTACATGTATTTTCAAGCACAAACTGAACACCTCCATAAGCACAACGGATGTGCCACTGCATGGGAACAGCTGACACGGTGCTTAACCAGGAAGGACCCATTATACATGACGTCATTATATTCGGGGCTTACCTCTGAATCACGAGACCAATCAAATATACTCTGTCACTATGATGGTAGGCACCATTTTCAGAAGTACTCTCCCCGTCGAACCTACTTTTATGATTGTATCTTGCTCGCGTTATCACTACCGAAAACATTGGATTCAAAATTCTTTCATCATTATCGTGTAGATCACGACTTCCCATTCATCAGCTATCCTTTGTCATGGAAACCTACACTTGTACATCATACTAATTAATAATACAACTCATTAAGAAATAAAATTTTTAAAGTATGAACTATAAAGCATATCATATTAATTTTTTTTTAAATCCAATATAACCCATTAAAATAACCTATTCAAAAATAGGATGAGTTTTATTTTAAAACACGAACAAGAAAAATTCGAAACTGATTATTCAGGAGATGGTTTCATCTCAGCACTAACTTCTCTAATTCCAAACGCAGCTATCTTTGTTTCAAACAACAAATCACTTATTTGTTCTTGATCTGTTGCAAAAGTAGGAGTCAGAATAAACGATGCAGTGAATATCTGACGAATTGAAAGGATTACAGCAAATAAAAGAACTACAGAGACAGTAAAACATCTTCTGGGTCATAATTACACTGATCCTGGTACCAGGTTAGATCTGCAATTAGACGAAAAAGATAAACTCAAACCCGGTGAAGAACCAGTCAATAGAGTTGACGCCGCTGCACTTAAACATGATTATACAGAAATGAAAATATAAAGATTAGACATGAAGCAGACAAACAAATGATAAACGAACTTGAAAATATTCCAAATCCAGCATTTAAAGAGAACATGGAAAGAGCGCTCATTATAAAACTGTTAAAAACAAAGATGAAATTGGGTATGGGATTAGCAGATGAAATTCATAAAGAATTTAGAAAAAACTAAAAACTTTTTAAAAGTTAAAGTATTTTGCTTAAGATGAAATATGGTCAGCCGATTTAATTAATATGCCAGTTGAAAGAGGATATAAATATTGTTTAACAGTTATAGATCTATATACAAGACCTGCTTGGGTTATTCCTCCAAAAAACAAAACAGCATTAACAGTTAACACGCTTATGAAGCGATCATGAAACAACCTAGTAGAAATCCAAGATTATGGGTTGATGCGGGAACAGAGTTTTTATAACAGAAACGTAAAATCACTTACAGTACTCATAACGAGGGAATAGCTGTAGTTACAGAAAGTTTTAACAGAACGCTCAAATCAAAACTGTTAAAAAATTCATTGAACTAAAGTCTCCAAAATGGTTAAAGATTTTACCCACTGTATTATTAGAATACTCCACTGAAAGCTAGTCAAAATCCAGATATTATAAAGTTTTCTTCTACCCTTAATAATTTTGAAAAGGAAATGACAAATATAGACATAATATTATAAATATAAAAGTAAATTCGAAAAAGGTTACGTTGGATATTGGACAAACGAAATATTTATCGTAAATAAAGCAAATAGCACATCACCAACAACATATGAATTAATCGATCAAGACAAAGAACAAATCATAGGTAGGTTTTATAAAAACGAACTTAAAAAACTGACTTTTAAATGGTGTCTTGATAAATACGAAAATGATACAACTACAAACTTTCAACTAATGAGATGAGCAAACGACCTCAATATATCAGTTAAGCATAAGAAAACAGTTTGTAGAAATTAAAATAAATTTAACTTAATAAAAATGGCGAACAAGTTTTGATAAGGTTCTCTACCTTTAGCAACTAAACAATCTAATACTACATCATGGATAAATAAAGCAAAATCATATTTTGTGGATCAAATTAGAGGCACACTTCAAGGTGATTTAGATATGAACAATTTCAAAATAACTAATTCAAAGTCTCCGGAAAATGATATTGATGCTGTTCACAAGAAATATTTACTGGATTAATAAATTAAATTGAGACAGGAGTAGATAAAGACCATTTAAAAGATAAAATAAGTGATGTGAAAAGATTCTTCAGACGACAACCAAATAATTAAAATTCTATTAATGAAACTAAACTGAAAGATCTAAGTTGTATTGATGAAACTAAACTGAAAGATCTAAGTTGTATTGATGAAACTAAACTGAAAGATCTAAGTTGTATTGATGAAACTAAACTGAAAGATCTAAGTTGTATTGATGAAACTAAACTACAGCAAGAGATAATTAGTTTGAAACGTTTAATTCAACAACAATGTAGTGGACAAAACTCAGTTACAAAATCTAAGTTCATTAATATATAACATGATAAGATTGCAATATAACATGATAAGATTTGCAATATAACATGATAAGATTGCAATATAAAATGATAAGATTGCAATATAACATGATAAGATTGCAATATAACATGATAAGATTGCAATATAACATGATAAGATTGCAATATAACATGATAAGATTTGCAATATAACATGATAAGATTGCAATATAACATGATAAGATTGCAATATAACATGATAAGATTGCAATATAACATGATAAGATTTGCAATATAACATGATAAGATTGCAATATAACATGATAAGATTGCAATATAACATGATAAGATTGCAATATAACATGATAAGATTGCAAAACAAAACTTAGATGTTAAATAACTAATAGATAGCATTAAACCAAGTAGAAATGAAGATGCATTACAACGGGAATGAACTGCTCTAGACACTAAACTTAACAGTCAATTACAAGAAGAACTAACCGATATTTAAACCTATATTAAAGTTAAAGACATTGATGATACCGAAATTCAACAACAGATTACTAGAATTAATAACGAAGTTTTAAAACAGGAAAAAAAGATAACCATATTAGAAATCAACCTCACGGAAAAAATAAACCACAATCATATTCTTTCAATCTTCCTTTTGGAAAATTGAGTGATGAAAATGAAAGAGTTAGCGATGATGATAGTGAATCAACAATTTATGAATTTACAAAATATGGATTTTAAAAAAAAAATAGAACAAAAATCTGACTGCTCTGCTCTCAGGAAAATTAATTTCACGTGAAGACAATTTCCAAGAAATAAAAATATATATATATACATCTTATTCGTACTCAGAAAACATGGTACACTTTAGACAATATATACAATAAATAACTTCACATCAATACAATTACCATGTACCAAAGATGATGAATGATTTCTTTTATGTTAGAGTAATCCACTTTGTGTTCTTTTGACTCTATCAATGACGTCATATATCTAATTGCTGCTACAGTCTGCGTATTTTCTGCAGTCTCGTGATTGGAGTAGAAAATATTACACGCTATATAATTTATGTTATAACGGGAAAAATCATATTTATGACAAATATATGATTATAGGGTGTTACAAGTGGCAGACTGGCTTCCAATAAAAGCAAGATTACTGCACATCTTTATACATTCATTCTTATTTAAAAGACATTAAAGAACTTAAAAAAATTCAGATGCAGTTGGTTTTCTACAGTAATGTCGTGACATATAATTGGTAACAATGAATTATGAGTTCTATATGGTAGAATAAGCAAATTACGTATGCCTTTTCGCCAGTTGGTACAGGAACTCAATTACTTAAAAAGATAAATGAATATAAAGGTGAAAAATGTTATATACCATCATATAGTTACTGTTTTATCAAATATGTAAATCATGTTATTTTAAAGGATTTAGCAAAAGAATTTCAAGAATTCATCAATGGTTTTTCAAAAGGAAATAGATAAGAACTAATGACATGTGCTAGCATTAATGAATTCAATAAGATTTCATAGTATACAAATGAGATTTCAATAGCACACAAAGGAGATTTCAATAGCATACAAAGGAGATTTCAATAGCATACAAAGGAGATTTCAATAGCATACAAAGGAGATTCCATAGCACACAAAGGAGATTCCAATAGCATACAAAGGAGATTACATAGAATACAAAGGAGATTTCAATAACACACAAAGGAGATTCCAATAACACACAAAGGAGATTACATAGAATACAAATGAGATTTTAATAGCATACAAAGGAGATTCCAATAGCATACAAAGGTGATTCCAATAGCATACAAAGGAGATTTCAATAGCATACAAAGGAGATTCCAATAGCATACAAAGGAGATTTCAATAGCATACAAAGGTGATTTCAATAGCATAAAAGGAGATTTCAATAGCATACAAAGGAGATTCCAAAAACATACAAAGGAAATTTCAATAGCATACAAAGGAGATTACAATAGCATACAAAGGAGATTCCAATAGCATTCAAAGGAGATTCCAATAGCATACAAAGGAGATTTCAATAACATACAAAGGAGATTCCAATAGCATACAAAGGAGATTTCAATAGCAAACAGGGGTGATTTCAATAGCATATAAAGGAGATTCCAATAGCATACAAAAGAGATTTCATAGCATACAAAGGAGATTTAATAGCATACAAAGGAGATTTCATAGCATACAAAGGAGATTTCAATAGCATACAAAGGAGATTTCATAGCTTATAAATCAGATTTCAAAAGCAAACAAAGGATATTACAATAAC